GGCACCTTTCTGGCTTTTGAGGTCCTCTCACAGGTATCACAGAGGCTGGTGTAGTGCCTGTGTCAAAGGCAATTTGCACAAAGTCGGACCGGGAATGTGTCATTTTGCAACATCTGTGTGAAAGGGGAATAGCAAAAAGACACTAAAAGCATAATGAAAGCCCATTTCACACTGTCCATTAAATTCAACTTATCCTTGTTTTTTTTTTTAATTACCCTTTTGCTGTTCTGTGTGAAAGGCACAAGGAAGAACTCCTGAATCAACAACCATTTTTGCTGGATCGTTGTGTAAAAGGGGCTGAAAATAGCTCGTAACAAAACACAGAAAACAAACATAGATTTTTTTTTTCCCCTTCAGAAGTCTTAGAAATTAAGTTCAGAAATGGGGATGATCGTGTTTTTGGAAGGGGTGTCCAATATTCCACTTTTTTCATTCTCATATTCATATTCTTTCTTTTGCCAAAAAATTCCCGTCTTCTCCATTTACTGCCAAACGTGACGCATAAAAGAACCACCGAGCCCATTCCCCCCACCTCCTTCTGTCTCATTTCCCTCCAACTTTTTCTCCCCTTCGTCCTCGTCGTCCCTGCGTCCTTTAAGTAATTGCCGGCTAATTAAATCCCTACAAAAGTTGTTGAAGTGAGAATAAAGAGTGACAAGGCGCAGTTCTAATGTGACCCCGCGACACAATGCCTGCACAACGATGTCGCTGTGGAGGGGGCGGGGCATCTGTGAAAGATGATCACAACAACCAGGAAGTGAAGACGGGATGAAACGACGGAAACCAGAGCGTCGCCGTCACTTGGTGGTGGAGTGCTGCTCAGTCAGCGCTTATTTAGTCATCAATAAGCATTCTTCGTAAATGTCTCACCGTGCGTTGGCCAATTAAAAGTAGAGAACTCCATCAACATTAATGTCGTGCCAAATTTAGGGTGCATAAAAAGCATTAATCCTGAGTGAAAAGAGGATGTGATTACTTTTCAAAAGTAACACTTTAATTATCTTGAAAAAAAAATATGTTCGAAACCCATCCATCCATCCATTTTCCGATCCGCTTTATCCTTACAAGGGTGCTGGAGCCGATCCCAGCTGTCTTCGGGCAGTAGGTGGGGGACACCCTGAACAGCCAATCGCAGGGCACACAGAAAGGAACAACCATGCGCGCTTACACTCACACCTCGGGACGATTTAGAGTGTTCCATTAGCCTGCCATGCATGTTTTTGGTATGTGGGAGGGAACCAGTGCACCCGGAGAAAACCCACGCAAGCACAGGGAGAACATGCAAACTCCACGCAGGAAGGCCGGCGCCAGAATCGAACCCTGTACCTCGGCACTGTGAGGCTGACGCGCAAACCACTGGACACCGGGCCGCTATATCCGAAATCTACTGTGTAATTATTTTTTCACGTTGTGGTCCAATGAAGCAGCAGACAAGAAAAGAGTGTCTTTACTTGACTTGCAAGTACTGAAATAGAAATTTAAAACAACGTTTTCTTCATTCGTTGAAGTCAATTGAAGTTAATTTTTCTGGTGGCTTTCAACACGAGGATGCAAATGGGGACTACCAAAATGATGTCTCTCTCTTTCTCTCTGCACCACAAGAAGTCAGCTGCGTCCAAGGTGACAAAATGTTTTTATTTTAAACAACTCCCGCCCCCCCCCCACTTTTATTGAAGTTTGCTGTGCATGCAAAGCGCAAGAATAGATCGCGAGAAGTTTTCAGCACCGAGGACAGCTCCCGTTCACCATTTAGCTGCGCTTGCTCTTTCAGTGGCGGCGTAGTTGACACTCACTTCTCCCAGCTTGTTTTGTTTTGAGTGCTGCGTGAAAGGCACGGGCTGAAAAATCCCAGATCTCAAACTATTATTATTATTTTCTCAGAACCTCTGTGTGAAAGGGAAACGGTGTCATGTCGTAATCACCAAAATTTAAACTCTGACGCTTACCTCTCCTATCCCTTTGTTGTTAATTATTGGACTGCTGTGTGAAAGGTGTGGCAATATCTCCCTTGACTGAGTTCTGTGCGAAAGGTAAATTGTGGGTATACTTTTACAGCTCGGATATGGCATTTTTGAAAATCTCTGTGAGAAGGGAAACACTGTTGCTGGGACAGAAGAGTGACCCACCTGTCACTCTGTTAAATCTGGAATATGTGTGAAAGGCACAGGATGACAGATTTGGGATCTACTTTCACAAATCTGGTGCACCATTTTAACAGAATCTCTGTGTGAAAAGCAGTACTCTGGGACACGGTGTTGCTTGTGTGAAAGGCACAGGCTGATCAATGCTGGATATTCTTTCACTGCCTGGATAGGCCCAATTTGTCTGAAAAACGCACACACAATTTTATGACTCAATGCAGAATCTCTGTGTGAAAGGTGATTCAAAATGTCACTTAAAAAAAAACAAAAAAAAAGAGAACATTTTTGGTGTTGGTTAAATTCATTTAAGGAGTGAAAGGGGTATTTTTGAAGGCGGTGTCAAGTGGCGCACTCTTTCATTTCCATATTTAACACGTTTGATGTCTTCTTGCTTTTAAGATAAATTTACGTCTGTGAAAAAAAAATGGAGGAGGAGGAGGAGGAGGAGGAGCAGCAGGCGGTGGGATGGCCAGCGTCCGGTTGCAGCTCCTTTACTCAAGTCGACGGCGTGAAATGTCAGATGGTGATCTGGAAATAATTTCCATTTGGTACCTCTAATTAGTTTGGGCAATAGCGGTGGCACACCGGATTATGTGGCGGTGAGAGAGGGGCCGTCGTAGTGAGGAACTTTGGGGCATGGGGGCGGGTGCGTGTGCCACTGGGGTGAGCGCAGAAAAGCGCGACACTGGCCCACGAAAAGACACCCACAACAGTGAAGCACCCAGACAGCTATAATGGAGCATTTCCTGCTTCCTGTAAGGGGCGGGGCTACAGGGGTGACTTCCACATGCGGTCATTTTGGTTTAGACTGAAATATTGGGCTTATTACGAACCCGCTCAAGATACGTTTGCAACGAAAGATTTTCCTCAGAAATAGGTAGGATACTAAATGTAAGACACTTCACTCATACAACTTTAAAAAAAAATTACAATAAAATGAACATACAGTAATCCCTCATTTATCGCGGTTAATGGGGACCAAAACCACCCGCGATAAACGAAAATCCGCGAAGTAGCGACCAATTAACATACAGGTAAAAAAAAAATTAAAAAAACGTATTTTTTTTAAGTCCGCAAAAAGTCCACAAACAGTCCGTGAGAAGCTGCAAAACAACAGCGAGTCACATAGAGCAACATATACAGTACTGTACTCCATGTATATGAAAAAATATAAATATTATTATGCAGTACTGTACTCCATGTATATGAAAAAATATATATATTATTATGATTATATATTTTTTTATGAATATGTTTGAAAAAATCCGCGATGCACCGAAGCCGCGATAAACGAACCGCGAAATAGCGAGGGATCACTGGAAAAGCAAATTAAATAAGATTATATCTGAGTGTTTGCTTTTCAGAGTATCGATTATTCGTCGATTAATCGATTCATAGTTGCACCTCTCGGTGAGGACATTTTAAAGGGCTGGCCTCAAAGAACAGAATAGAAGTCCTATTTTTGGAACCAAATGCAAAATGAAAGAAAAGCCGAGTTCATGACTCAACATTTTGCCGCCTTTTTCCACAGGAAGCGCCAACCAACCGTACATCAGCGAGCAGGAATAATAAAAAGAGGAATAAGAAAGGTGTGAGTGAATGTGTTGGTCGAGTCAGCAGCAGCGCTCGCTCGCATGCGCCCGCACGCGCTCGCTTCCCGCCTGCCATCTCGCGCCAGGACAGAACCCCGGCGCACCCCCCTCGCCTCGCACCGCCTCTCCCGCAGATATTAGAGAATGATCTAATGTCACGCGTGCGGAGAGAAAGGTTACTTTCTGCATACGCGTTTCACATTTGCCTTTTTTGCCTCACTGACCTTTTCCTCACTCTTTCTTCTCCCGCTTTTCCCCCCCGAACATCGCTGGTTCCCTTCTTCTTCTTCCTGTTGGGCTACTAATTGGCTTTGTTCATGCACCCCATTTAACAATCCGGAAAGCGCTGGCGCACCCCCGAACCTCGCCGCCACAATTCCCGCTGAAACCAGCTCAACAAACCCTGTGGAGCATGACTTTTATTTCCCTGATTTTACTTTGTACAATAGCCACAACAAAACTTTTGAAGCCACACGCATCCTTTAAACACCCGACAGTGTCGGCGCACCCCTACCCTAGCGCCACAACCTCCCCTCCAAAACCACCTACCAGAACTTGTTGAACATTTAAAGGTTGATTTTTGAATAATTTTACATCACAGAACGGCCTTAACACAACTTTTGAAGCCATGCACCCACTTTTAAAATCCTGACGGAAATCAACGGTTTAATCGATCGCGCTCTTCATTTTGCATAACGCACCCCCTGCCAACAACAAAACTGAGTTGTTGCACTTACATTTCCAGCACATCCATATCAAAATATACATGAAAGCAATGTGTGGTCCAGCTACAATGCCAACATTGTATGTCGTATTAGAGCGTCAAGAAAGTGTTTCATGACGCGCATCATTTTCAAAAACCCCTGTTGGCGCACGATAAACCCCCAACTGCCCCCTCCCCGCACCCCCAAATAGCCATAATTCAAACTCTCTATTTTTTATTTTTTTTTTTAATAAACTTGGGAGTGAAAACACATCAATGTTTACCACAAAGCATCTTGTGGCGTTTTTAATCTTGGGCACCACCCGGAGAGTGCCCAATGGAGGTGCGCGTATCCCACTTTTTCTATAAATGTTTCCACTATTACGGTTTTAATCTTGTGCACCCCCGGGGGTCCTCCCCCCTGGGAAAGCTGTTTTTATAGACGAAGTTAATTAAAGTTTGTTTTCAGGTGGTTGTTGTTGTTGTTGCCATGCCAATGGGACTTATTGAGTGTGTGTTGTGTTTTGTGACCCCCCC